TTTGAACTCATAATTTCGAGGGTGAAATGGATAAACCTATGGAAAGTTGAACCAATAAAGTAACTAAACATACATGGATCTGCATGTCTTTTGTCTTCCTTATTGGTGGATGGGGTTGCTTTCCTTCGGTGGTGGCTCGATAATGTTTGCCACAGCATTAGCACATTTTATTTCAATGGCTGCCTTGTCATAGCCAAAGCAGCTTCAAGCGCAGTGTCAAAACTTCCTAACCAACGTCGTTTATTCGTTCTTACATCTCGAATCTCTGCAACCCATCTTCCCCATTTTCGTTGTCTAACTCCCCTGTACTTCTTTACATTTTCTTGGAGAAGTTTTGTATCTTTTTTCTCTTTCGACGATACCATCTTTGAAGTGACCTTGGTTTTTCCATTTCTGATGATAATTTCTTTACAAATCCTTTTATGTCGTTTGGACTTCTCTCCTTGAAGATTTTCCTCTTCATCACTGGACGAGTATGTGGCGTCATTGTCCGTTATGTAAATACGTACAACACGTGGCAACACAACAGAACGTTCGCCCATTAAGTTGCTTTTTTTCCTCTGTCAATTTTTGAGGGTTTTTTGACTACCTCATTTTCATGAAGTTCATCTTTGGAAGCCATTGGTTCATGAAAGAGAACAAACAAAAAATCAGAAAAAGTCCATTCAATCAGGCATGTATATACAATTCATTAATAATCAAATTATTTTTATTTATGTACTTTCTCTGTCAACTTGATTGTCTGATTTTGACCTAGCACAAAGCTTAAGAAAATAAACAAACTAAATTCAAACTGTCAACTCCGAAATTCCATATCATAAGGATAAAAAGGAAATGAAAAAAATATTCTCTTAGTCTCAATTTAAGTGACTCTTTGAGTTTTGAGAGTTAAACAAGTTTTGACTGTGACTTTTGTCACACAACTTTCGAAGACTTTGAATGGTCAATTACTTGACTTATAGTAATTTTTAAATAATTTTCGAATATATATAATTTTATTTTGAAAACCTTATAGATTTAATACCTGAATTTACCATTACAATTTGAAAATTTTGACTCTCAAAGTCTTAAATATCCCATATAAATAGTAATAGAAACACTATTAAAGAACATGTTTTCCAGATAAACATGTTTTGTTTTCAAGGATGAACATACCTTTATGACAATTGTACTAAATTCCCTCCGAAGGAAATGAGTTATCTTGCCTTTTTACCATTTTTTTAAAAAAAAGTCTTTTCACATTTCTTTGGTGTAAAGAATGAAGATCTCTTATATAAAAATAAAAAAAAATAGGTTATTAAACTAAAAGAAATTTGTATAAGATTAGAAAATAATTTCTCCTGGAATTTATATCCACTTTCACATATGAAAGACTCCAGAATTTACATGAAATAAGATCTCTTGTCCTTTTTCCAATTTAAATACAAAAAAAATGACATTTTTAAATTTTCGTATGTATAAAAATGAAGATCTTTTAAACCTAAAAAATCTCTTATTTATAAAAATGCTATAAAAGTAAAAAGAATTTTGAAAGGACCGGAAAAATATCTCTCTAAAGCTCACTTAAAATCCTAGATTCACTTTTGTTATGTTATTTCTCTAGAGTTTCAAATAGAAAAAATTCATACAGTCCATCATGAGTTTCATATAGTTCAAAAGATAAAATGCTCAAACACAAACAGATCCAAAGCATATATGGAAACAAGAAAATGATATATATTGTCTTCTTACAATTTGAATAAAATAAAATATTCTTTTCAGATCTCATATGTGTAATAAAAAATGAATATATCTTATAAAAGGACATAAATTAATTTATTTTTAAAAAAAAAGTCTAAAAAATGATTTCAAATAAAAGCACATACAAACTCACATGTCACATTTCATAAAGAAGATGAAAATTAAACATACCTGAAAGAGGAACTCAAGAACTCTCACAAATCAGTAATTTTATTGGTTTGCCTTGTTGTTAATTATTTTACCTTTAATGGTCATTTATATAGTTGAAACTAAGGGTGTCAATCGTATAGGATCGGGTCGATCCGAAATCGACCCAAATCAGTAGAAGCCCACAAAGGAATATTCGTTGGAGGCACGAACTTTTAGAGAATCTCTTTGTCAATTTTTTGACCAGTGTGGGGGCCATTAATGGTCAAAATTTTCTAAAATCTAATCTCGAATTTATTAAAGCTTTTTTTAAATAAAAAAAAAAGTACCCATTTAATCTATAAATATTTTTCCATATTCTCTCAATTTCTCTACTCTTTTAACTTTTAAGAATTTAATATTTAATTTCAACTTTCTCAAAATCCATTAATTCTCTTATCTCTACGATATCACTTATTAGTTACTCTATTACTTATTTTTATTAGTTATTAATTTATTATTTTTCTTAAAGTGCTAATAAGATTATTATTATCATTATTTTTATTATATTACTTATATAAATATTATTATTGTTATTAGTTATTAATTTATTATTTCTCTGAAAATGCTAGCAAGATTATTATTACAATTTTACTTTTTAGTCAAGATTATTATAACAATTTTACTTTTTAGTTACTACTTATAATTTATTATTATTATTATTATTATTATTATTCTTAATTAATACTTAATACATGTTAGTTAATGTGGAAGTTAACCTGAAAAGATTAGATCATAGTTTATTCTTAGTAAAACATTTAGGGGTCGTGGAGGTGGAGGGGGAGATGGAGATGGAGGTGGTGATATCAATCTTTTTAGCGGCGGGGTTGAACAAAAGGATGGAGCAGGCAGCAAGTCCACATTTCTCTACAACTACACTAGGTAATTAAATCTTCAACAAAAAAAAAATTCTCCCAAGTTGGATTCAAATCCCTCAATATTATTTTAGAACGAAACTTTCACAAAGAATTAAGGTTGAAAACTAATTGAGGAAGAAATGATAAAGAAGTAGGAGAAAAAATAATTAAAAAAGATTAATTGGTGAAAACCACTTGTCAAGTGTTTGTGTTTCACCACAAGATACATGAGTGGTTATATCGTTTAAGGGGTTATTTATTTCATTTTTAAATAGTTCGGGGGGTGATAGGGCATCCGTAAAGTTGGAGTTTGTAGTTGAGATTTCGGGTATAGGTTGGGGAGCGGGGAGGTTAGACCATTTTCTCTTATTATTATTATAATATTACTTATATAACTTGTTATTATTAGTTATTAATTTATTATTTCTCTTAAATTCTAGCAAGATTATATATTATTATTACAATATTACTTTTTAGTTATTATTTATTAGTTATTATCATTCATTAATGTTTAATACAAGTTAGTTAATAGTTAATAGTTTATTACTTTATTACTATTTTGACTTATTAGGTAACTCAATGATCAAAAGTATGAAGAATTAAATATCATTATTAATTAATCAAGTGAAATTATGCTACCATACGAGTCTAAGTATTTATTTTGTTGCAAAAATTTATCATACTCATTTCATTTATTTCTATTATTTTATTTTTAGAAACGATATTGACAAATGATTGTTGGATATAGTTACTCACTTCACAATCTAATTTTCTTTGTGGGGTATATATCGATCGGGTTGCTGCACGGAGTATCAAACCTAGTTGTTTTGGGCTTCCTATTCTAGTTAGAAGAGCTAATTGTTGGTGTTACTCAAGAAAATAATAGAGTTTCTAGAATTAAAGAATTTTTAATCGAATATGGTCTATATGGTCTTGCCCCTAGATATATTAGAGATTGAATTAAATCGTAGCGAAGAAATCAAGGATACGAAGATAATATCTAAATGATTTGGAGAACGAAAAAATTGAAGCTATATATAAAAGATGAAATCCATTTGATAGTGTAATCATGCTAACACATCATGTTGATATTGAAGAAATTATGAAAATGGTGCAAAATATAAGAAAAATAATTTTTTTAGACTAATTAAAACCTAAAAAACCCTAAAACCCTATTTTTCCTTTTCTGATGGCCTCCATGGCCGGAGGCCAACCTCCTGCTGAGGCAGGTCGACTGGTAATTCCATCTAGACCTTCATACATTGATTCACTGGGTCTGAAGAAACATCACAAACAACCATTACCACTAAAACAAATTTCGTATTTGCATGGAGAACCTTAAGTAATATGGGATGTAGAAGAAGTAAATCAGATGATCGTCAACAAAAATCTAGAATATGCGGTGATTGGGAACTTTTCGTACGGATGGCCGGATATACAAAATCTTAGAAAGTAGATATCTAAACAATGTGAACTAAAGGGTGAGTGTAATATCGGTTTGCTTAGCAATAGGTATGTGTTAATAAGAGCGACGCTTTTGGAGGATTATGTGCATCTCCTATCCAAGCCAGTTTTTTACATCACTCAATACAACTGGTCATTCCCAATGAGAACTTTGAAATGGGATCCAATGTTTAATCCTGAATAGGAAACAACAACAGCAATTGCTTGGATCTCGTTTCCATCGCTGCTGCCAAATTTTTTTGGAGAAGATGTCGTATTTTAACTTGCGACAGCAGTGGGAAAGCCACTACAGGTGGACATGGCAACGAAGAATCAAACGAGGCCAAGTTGTGCAAGAGTAAAAGTGGAGGTAGATTTACTAAGAGAATTCACAAAGAGGATTAAATTGGGATGAGGATGAAGAATAAGGAGGTATTGGAGAAGTGGATCAAGATCAAATACGATTATGTGCCAAAGTATTGTCAAACATGTATGATTCAGGGACACAATGAGGAACAATGTTTTGTTGTGCACCCAGAATTATACTTAAAAGAGAAAAGACAAGTGGAGTGAAAGGGAACAAAAAGAAAGCAAATGATTTCTTAGGAGGGGAATTCAGATGTGCATGTTACAGGAAATGCTGGAATAATCTAAAAACCCAATAGAGAAGAAGGATTTGTGGAGCAGCGATACGAAAAATAGGGAGGTGACAAACTTAAGCAGCCGGAAGAAGTTTGGAACAGGGTGGGTTTAATCATTAAAAATACATTCAATATGTTGGCACAAGTTGAACAAGAAGGAGGGGGAGAAAGGGAAAATGTTTATCTGACTGGGGTGGACAAAAATGAAGATACGTCTGGTGTTCAAATGAGTAATAACAAAGAAAAGGGAACCAAAAAGCAAAGGGGCACAAGAGAGAATGAACTTGTAGAGGGGAACAATCAGCCACAAATACATAATATGGATACATCAAGTGACATAGATGACAATCATCACGCAAGCAACAAAGGAAGTGGTAGGGTGGAAAGGAATTTTGAGGAAGATGGATCAATAAATGAGACCTATGAGGTGAATAATCAGGTTAAGAAAAAGGAGAGTGATGATTCTACATCACGTAAAGTGTTGGAATCACGTAGGGAACTCGGGGAAAAAACCTTAATGGAAGAGGAAGACACTGGGAAAGGTCCGGACTTAATCGAAGAGGATGATGGGATATTGCAACACAGAAAGGACACGAAGAAGGATGAGGATATTGAATATAACATTCAGCAAATTAGTATGGCAGGTGATTTATCCCCTAGACATACCAATAGTTTGAAATATGGGGCAAGGAAAGGTAAGCGAACACTACCTTTATAGGTCCAAACAAGGAGTAGCAGGGAGAAGGCGTATGAAATATTAGGTCGATTAATACTCAAAACTCTTTTGAGAGATTAATGGATCTAAATAAAAGACATCATTATTCATTCATAGCTTTAATGGAGCCTTTTCAAAGTCCATCAGAGCTAGATCAATACAAAAGGAAGTTAGGTTTCAAGCATGCAGGGGTAAACTGTTCTGGAAAAATTTGGTTTTTTTGGAAGTCAGATTGAGAGGCCAACATCATACTTGACACAATACAGCAGATTACTATCAAGTTTAAAATAAGAGGTCAATTTTTTCGGATTACGATTGTGTATGCGAGAAGCATTGCCTTGGAAAGATTGGAATTATGGGAGGAATTAGAAAAGCTAGCAGGAAGTGAGCATTGTCCAGGGGTTGTTGGGGGTGATTTCAACGTAATTCTTAATGAGGAGTAAAAACTAGGTGGTCTACAGTTTACTCAAAATGAAGCATTAGATTTTGCATCATGTATCACTTCGTGTGCTTTGTCAGAAATACGCACATCAAGTAGCAAATTTACTTGGTGGAATGGGCGAATTGAAGGAGATTGTATTTTTAAGATGCTAGACAGAATCTTTGTTAGTTAAGAGTTTCTGGATATTTTACTAACTTCAGAGGTCCATCATCTGATCAGGCAAGGATCTGACCATGCCCCTTTACAGATAATTTATAATTCTGTTGAGGGACCAACGATAAAACCCTTTAGATTTTTAAATTTCTGGAGTAAGCACAAACATTGAGAGAAGACTGTTGAAGATAATTGGTGTGTGTATTTTGTAGGGAACCTTTTTGTAGAGTTTCAAGCAAAACTGAAGAAAATTAAAAAAACACTATCAGCATGGAGCAGAAATGATTATGGAGATGTATTTCAGCAAATAGCCACCATAGAAGATGTGATAAAGGTGAAGGAAGTTCATATGGAGAAACAACCCTCTGCAAGCAATAAGGCAGAGTTGAGCGAAGCCAAAGCAGAATTGAAAAAAAATTTGACAATTGAAGAAGAATTTTGGAGGCAAAAGGCGGGGATGAAATGGTTCTCTGATGAGGATAGCAACACGAAACTTTTCCATTCTTATGTAAAGAGGAGAAGGAAGAAGTTGCACATTGCTGAAATAGAGGCTGATCATGGGATAAAGTTGCAGACGAATGAACATATTGGGTAAGCTGATGTGGATTTTTTTGAGCAGCAATTTTGTGCAGAAACAATAGTGAGATTTTGCCATGCTTGAGCACATACCAAAGTATTTAACATAAAAATAAAATGAGGTTATAAGTAGACTGTCAGACCTAGAGGAAGTGAAAAGAGTGGTGTTTGAATTAAATGGGAATAGTGCTTGTGGGCCGGATGGTTTCACAGTACATTTCTTTCAGTGTTGCTGGGAGATCATTGGGGAAGATGTTGCTAAGGTGGTTAGAACTTTTTTCTGTGGGCAAGAGTTGACAAAGAATATCACTCATACGAATTTAATGCTACTGCCTAAGAAAGAAGTAGTGTGAAATTTTTCAAATCTAAGACCTATAAGCCTTAGTAATTATATGAATAAGATCATCTCCAGAGTGATACATGAAAGAATTGTGGTGATTTTACCCAAGATAATTTCTCCTACATAGTCAGGCTTTGTGAAGGGCAGAAGTATTACGGAGAATGTATTATTGGCACAGGAGATAATCAGAGATATAAATAAGAGGAGCAAAAATGTTAATGTGGTTGTGAAATTCGATATGGCCAAGGCATATGATAGAGTATCATGGAATTTTTAACCAAAGTGATGAGGAGTTTTGGTTTTTCTGAAATTATTATTGATATGATATGGAGGATTATGTCCAATAATTGGTACTCTTTTCTAATAAATGGGAGGGCTCATGGCTTTTTTCGATCTTCTAGAGGATTGAAGTAGAGAGATCCTCTCTCCCCTACCCTTTTTATTATTGTTGCAGAAGTTCTAGCAAGAGGTCTCAATAGCCTACATGGGGATGCAGACTTTAAAGGCTATGGGATGCCGAAGTGGAGTCCTAAGATAAATCATTTATCTTACGCAGACGATACTATTCTCTTTTGTTCTGGGGAAAGAAGGTCAATGATCAAAATGACAAAGGTGCTAAGAGACTATGAGTACATTTCAGGGCAGAAGATAAACAAATCAAAGAGTTGTTTCTATCTTCATGAGAACACACCTTTGATTGTCGCTATAAGATTGAGAAGGTTAACAGGAATAAGACAAGGGAATTTTCCTTTCATTTACTTGGGCTGTCCAGTTTATTATGGGAGGAGCAACTCAAGCTATTTTGAAGAGTTGATAAGGAAAATTGCAAAGAGAATATTTTCTTGGCATAATAAGTTCCTTTCTTTTGGAGGTAAGCAGGTACTAATTGATCATGTACTTCAGTCACTACCAATATACTTACTATCAGCAATGAACCCAACTAAGAAAGTCATGGAGCAAATTCATCAAATCTTTGCGAAATTCTTTTGGGGAAAGGTTGGGGGAGTAAAAGGAAAACATTGGGTGGCATGGGAAGATATGTGTCTACCAAAGGAGGAAGGTGGAATTGGATTTAGGAGGATTCAAGATATAAGCAAAGCCTTATTTGCTAAGTTATGGTGGAATTTTCGAATATCCACAAATTCATTATGGGCTGAATACATGTGGAATAAGTATTGTAAAAAAGTGCATCCGGTAATTGCAAACAATATAGGTGTTTCTCAAGTATGGAGGAAGATGATTAAGATTAGGGATGAGGTGGAACATGACATCTGGTGGCAATTTAAAGCTGAAAATTCTAGTTTTTGGTTTGATAATTGGACCAGGCAAGGAGCACTTTACTTTACATAAGGAGATATGGCACAAGAGGAGGAGTTAGAAGTCAAGGATTTTATAAGGAATAAGGAGTGGGATGTGGACAAGTTGAGATCGGTTATTTCTGAGGAGAAGGTACATCATATAACAATGAATTTTAAGTTCGAAAGTAAGGCAGTCTGCAGTGATAAGGCTTGGTGGGTTCGTAGCACTAATGGAAATTTCACAGTCAAATCTGCATTTCAAACAGTGAGAACTAAAGAGGAAAAGAAGGAATGGAGCACGTATACGTGGTTAAAGGGGCTATCTTTCAAGATAGGATTTTTTTTATGGAGGGTTTGGATGAAGAGAATAGCAACAGATGACAACCTCAAGAGGATAAGGGTACAATTGGTGTCCAAATGCTACTGTTGTGAAGAGGGACACTTGGAGACTATGTCTCATTTATTACTAACGGCTCCCATAGCCCAAAAGTTATGGAAACAATTTGCTTCCTGTGTAGGTATCAATATAAATGGAGCTAATCTAAAGCAACTCATTTACAGATGGTGGGAGCACAAGATGTCAAACAAGGTAGATCAGATATTAAAGGCAGTCCCAGCAGTCATAATGTGGGAACTGTGGAAAAGGAGAAACAATTTAAGACATGGAAAGGGACTACCTACGGATATATGTATTATCAATGTCAATTGGCAACACATCGTTTGATAAGGGTCAAATTTTCATGGATTAAAAGGGTGCCACATCAACGGTCTGGAATGGTTGATTCACTACAGAAATAAAAGCCCACCATACATTATCTTCTAGTAAGATGGAAGGTGCCAAGAGAGGGTTGGATTAGTTGCAACACTGATGGAGCTAGTAAAGGCAACCCAGGCCAAAGTGCGTTTGGTTTTTGTATAAGAAATAGAAGTGGAGATCTGTTATATGCAGAAGCACAGAATATAGGGGACGCCACTAACATGGAGGCGGAGGTACGAGCAGTATGGGAAGCTTTGTCTTATTGCATCAGGCAAAGTTTTAACTAAGTTCAGTTGGAGACGGATTCATTAGTTTTAAAGAATATGATTACAATGAATTGGAGAATTCCATGGGAATTAGCGGGAAAAATTGAGGAAATACATCATATGGTTACTCAAATCAATGTGCAAAGTGCAGCATATATTCAGAGAAGCAAATCAGCTAGCAGACTATGTAGCAAGTTCAGCAATTAACAAAGAGGATAAAAAGGTATTTCTAAATTTTAACTAGTTACCAAGCATGGGAAGAAAGATTCTTAATATAGACAAGCATCAGATCCCATATGTTCGTATCAAAACAAGGAGAATCAATATTGACAATAACGGACATGCTTAGTTACATTGAAGACACTGAGCTCCACAACTATATGTACAAATTATATACTACAATTAATGGGTGCAAAAGAGTTGTAGGGGAATTAATCCTAAGACTAAGCTATGACAAACAGCAGCAGTGATACAGGGACCAACAAAAGGTGAGAGTAAAGAGGCCAAATCTGATTTTATTGTAAGCACTCAGCTAGGAAATCTTGAGAATGAAGCTCAAGAGATTTTTTCTCATTTTCGGCTTCAACTACAGGAACAGGGGGTCATAGTTAGCACAAAAGGAAATCAAGATGAAATAATGGAAGGGAGCAGCGCACTTACACATAACGCCAAGGAGGAAAGGGGAAGAGGAAAATGGTAGAGACAAACCATTTAGGAAACCCGTCTTAGGGGTTTTTTTTTCTTTTTAAAAGCACCTGGTCTGGTCACTTTTGGGTCGACCAGGATCCGTGTGTTATGTAAGAGTGGCCCATTTTGGGTATTTTAATAAGATGGACCTTATGTCCAAAATTTAACCCAAAAAAAAAAAAAAAAATATATATATATATATATATATATATATATGAAAAATGATGTACTTTTTTTAA